TGTTTATATATAAACAAATATATATATACATTTTCTTCTGCATGTACCTTATCTCCCTTCCTCTTTGTAAACTTAGATCTGTGAATCCTCTCCTTTTATTTTACATTTTGCCTCAATTTCTCCTATGTATGCTGAATGTTCATTACTATCTTGCAATAGCAAATCTCTTCTTATTGTTCAAGCTTGTAAGTCCTATTCTTAGTAAGTGTTACATTACTCTGCTTCTATCTGCCTGATAGTCACCCTACTTATTTTGTCACTTTGTTTTAGGTGAGCTGAGCCCTTTCATTTTTTCCTGCAAAGTAGGCCTTGAGGTTGAGAATTCTCTCAATTTTTGTATGTCTGGAAAGGTCTTTATTTCTCCTTCATATCTAAAGGAGAGCTTTGCTAGATAAATTATTCTTGGCTGGTTGTTCCTTTCATTTTTTAATTTGAATATTTGATTCCACTTCTTTCTGTCTTATAAGATTTGTCTTGAGAAGTCTAAGGATAATCTCATGGATTTTCCTTCATATTTTACCATCCTCTTTTCCCTGTCTGTACTGAAAATTCTTTCTTTGTCATTGATTTTTGATCATTTAAGTACAATGTGTCTTGAAGGCCTTTTTTGGGTTGAGATAATTGGGTTTTCTAGTGACTTCTTGAATTCTAAGCTCCAGCTCCTTCCTTACATTTGGGAAATTCTTATCAACTATTTGTCTGAAAATGCTTTCTAATCTCTTTCTCTTTTCCTCGCCTTCAATAATTGAGAATGGCCTTTATTCTTATGCTTCTTTCCTGATTGTATCAACTAGTTCTTGTATTCCTCTTTTCATTATTTTTCATTGTCCAGCTTTTCTCTTCTTCTATAGTGGCTGCGCCAATTTACAATCTCACCAACAGTGCATAAGGGTCCTCTTTTCTCCATATTCTCGGGCAGCACTTGTCATTTTTTGATTTATTGATAGTAGTCATTCTGACAAGTGTGAGGTGATATCCCATTGTGGTTTTAACTTGCATTTTCCTGATGATTAGTGATGTTGAACATCTTTTCATATGTTTGTTGGCCATCTGTATGTCTTTGGAAAAATGTCTATTTAGGTCCTTTGCTCATTTTTTAATCAGAGTGTTTGTTCTTTTGATGATGAGTTGTATGAATTCTTTATATGTTTTGGATATTAACTCCTTATTGAATATATTATTAACAAATACCTTACACCATTCAGTAGGTTGTCTTTTTGTTTTATTGGTTGTTTTCTTCACTGTGCAAAAACGTTTTAGTTTGATTTAGTCCCATTTGTTTATTTTTGTTTTCCTTGCCTAAGTAGACATGTCCAGAAAAATATTGCTAAGGCCAGATACCTGGTTGTGATTGGTCCATAAGCACCACTGTAGGGACGTGTTATGCATATTTTTGCCATGTTACCTGGATAAATAGGCACGCTATCTTTGTGGTTGCTGGAATTTCTGTATGATCAGATGAGTGATTTTCTTCTTTAGCTGCTTCTCCAAACCCTTTTGATTCTTAGATATGGCTTTGTAAACCTGATGCTAGGACCATGAAGTTCTCAGAGATGGATGGAGCTTATTAGCATAGACAATACAAATCTTGTCTCCTAACTCTATCTCTGTTATTTATGTAAAATGCTGAGTCTCAGTTTTCTCATCTTTAAATTGAGGATAATATCACCTGTCTCTCTGAATTATTTTGATGGTTAATGAAGATAATGGATATAACTTGCCTAACACTATCACATAATATCAATTTTGTTTTATAGTAGCCATTGCTGTTATTATTACTTGAACCCAGTTCTCCTCAACAGTTTGTTGTTTTTTATTCCACTTTGCTTCAGTAATCATCGCCTGCTCCTTTTTGCACTATCTACTTTGCCCTTCATTATTGACCTTGTTCCTTCTCATTCCTTCGTGAAAGAGCAATTTTTCCGTCTCATTTCTTCCCCATTTACTTTCCTTAGATTCAACTTTGACAGATTGATTCATATCTGGACTTTAGCAAGATAATCTGAGAAATAGGTAAAACCATAAATAAATGTTACTGTTATCTGCACTTTGCCAATTTATGGAGAAGGAGCAAAATTTATTTCAGACTTACAGCCTGTGTAAGTGAGAGGTTTATTATGCCATTAAAACATGGGAAATTAGAAGGGGTTTTGGGAGAGAATATAATATGTTTTAGATTATATCATGGAAGGTCAAATGGTTGTAGTTCAGCCCAGGGGACATATCTTGACTACAGATAGAAAAATGTCTGGACGTTGAAGAAAATTTTAAGAATATAAATAAAGTCATAAATGTTATCTCTAATTCAAGCCATAGAAAGAGCTGCAATTACTGAAGAAGAGAGCTTGTAGAGAGTAAGATGGATTGTTGAGACATGAACCTACATTAGAGAACAAGAGAAATTGAAGATGACAGGGATTTGTAAACTGTCTTGTGCAGTATTTTGTATTTAGGAAGTACTTGCAAGGACATCTTGAGGGATAACAAAGTACAAAATAAGAAATGGACTAATAACAGTTCCTGCTAAAGAGGGAAAACTGAGGTAGTAGGAATATATGGCAACCAGGATTATTTTCCAAGATACACAACTGAAGGCTCACTTTTTCTAAGCATCATCTATTTTCAGATTAACATTCTGCTTACTTACCGTCTGAAAAGTACCTATGCTGCAAGTACCTATATAAATTTATTGATTGGATCTGAGATCTCCTGTGGGAAGACCAAATAAATGCAAGTTGAACATGCTTGTGGTCATTCAAATGCATTTTCATGTATAAAATGACAGTAGTATTTTGATTTTGTTGTGTATGAGAGATGTAGTACTCAAATAAATGATTATCTTTGATGTATAAATATATATGCCTAATCTATTAATCACTATAAATATTAGCTTAAATGGTTTTGACATAATCATGAAAAAATCCTTAGCCTGGAGACCTGGGTTCAAGTCCTGGTTGTATCCTTTGTTGAGTCCTTTTCCTTCACTGAACCTTATTTTCTCCTTGTAGAGAACTAAACATGAAGATCTTTGAGGGTTGTATAAAAAGTATGGACTCCTATTCTGACGACAGTACCAACCCTGGGCTTATTTCTTATCCCTACAGATGACAACCAGATCTTTGCTCAGACGTACAATGATAAGCCACTGGTAATTGCTGTTTTTACTGGAACCCAAGAGGTGGTTGTGCCATGTCGGGTTACTTCTCCTGATTTCAATGTCAAGCTTCAGTTGGTAAGTTGAATTGTCTCAGAAAGAGGACTTGCTGCTATCTAGAGCAATGGGCCCCAACCCTAGGGCCACAGACTGGAACCAATCTGTGGCCTGTTAGGAACCAGGCCGCACAGCAGGAGGTGAGTGGTGGCTGAGCAAGCGAAGCTTCATCTGTATTTGCAGCCAATCCCCAGTGCTAGCATCGACACCTCAGCCCCACCTTTGATCATCAGGCATTAGATTCTCAACAGGAGCACCAGTCCCTGGTACCAAAAAGGTTGGGTACTGCTGATCTAGATTATGAAATATAAAGAGAGTAGGAGACTGTGTTTCATCCCATTTCATACTTGCTCTAGCTGTGTCATGTCTGCCTCTTTGGAGCAGCACATAGAAGCAGATGCTGCCATTTTTCCTTGGACCAGTGTCATCACAAGAAGGTTATACAAAGTAGGGGAAAAGAAGATGGATGTTTAGATGTTCTGTAATGTCCCATGTGAACTGTATGTAAATGCTATCCATGTCTAGAGCTCTGAGGCCAGAGCCTGTTTTTCTTAAATAGAGAGGAAATAGTGGATGGTTTTCAAAAATATACACAAAGAGAAGAGGAGATAGAGGTAAAACCAAACCATCTAGCTTGATTTGTTAAATTAATCTTGGTGATGAATAGAGTAACATATATCCCTTGTAGATCACCTTCATGCCCACCAAAGCCCTCAGCATCCATAGTTGTACAACATTACTACAAACTTTAAAATCATTTCATATATATATCACCTTCTGTGAGCTACACATATAACTGCTCTGTAAAATTGATAGAGCTGGCTTTATTATTTCCATTTTACATGTGAGGAATCTTAGGCTTAAAGAAAAGGAAGAACATTCTAATGCTCTATATTTCACAAGTATCAGAGTCAAAAGTAAAAATCAAGTGTTCTCGTTCCCTATCCAGTGTTCCATTATTATCCTTGTGGCCTCCTTCAGAGTGGAAGGCAACCTATGCTCCCCTTCTGGCTGCAGTGTTCATCTGCTACCAAGCTCTTTCTCATTTTCTTGTTAGGAAAAAGCTGTAAACTTCCAACAGCAGCAGATAAAGGTCCTCTCGTTCTCTTTTTATAGAGGAAATGTCAGCATTTCCCCAATGCCTTCTGTCAGTACAGCTGTGAAATTGAGAGGTGTGTCAGCCAGAAAATTGTGTCTGGCAGCAGCTGATGTGGAATAGGAAGGTGCACAAGCCCATGGGCAGAAGAGTTTAAGCTCTAACAAGTTCCACAAGACATTGGAGTTATTAGCTACTCCCTGAAGACCACACTATCTTGATTGGTAATCCCTCCTCTTCCCAGGCTTATCTGCCCCTAAGGTTGTTAGAGAGTCCATTGTATTCTCAGTGGAGTGGTCCTCAGCATCATGCTGAAGTCCTCCATCCACTGAGCCACCAGCTCCCACTCTCCTGAGATATTCAATCAGCTCTTTCTGAAGGGAAAATGAAGGTGTTCCTTATCTTTGGGACTTGGTCCAAAAAGAAGCAGTGATGTGTGGGAATGGGTGGAACAGAGAGGATGCAGTATGTTACAGAGTTTATGTGCTTGGCTGGTCACCTCATTCTTCCTCTACCTAGGATGCAGGGAGAGTGGCCGACCCACCCACCAGGCTTCCTTTTCCTCCTTCACAGGCTAGTCTCTGGTGGGGCTTGGAGTCACTGTGTCTCTTTCTTCTGCCAAAAGGAAGCACTAGGTGGAGATGCAACTGACCTGGCTAATTTCAAACATCCTTTTCTAAAATTAAACCCCACTAGGCAGCCAATTTACCTTCAGAGGATGTGCCTGGGTATGGGCATAGAGGCATAACCAGGATTTTCTTTTTTCTAAGGCCTTAGCTGCTGTTTTGCTTAAGATTTAATCAGAGTAGACAATTTCATGGTATCCAGAAATCTTCTCCTTCCACTCAAAGAGAGTTCAAAGACACTAACCTATAATATTCTACTTTCTTTTACAATCTGCCAACATTTTCCACAGTTCAAGTTAGCTTCTTTATTATCACTTTATTTTTTTTAAAAAAATCAATTTACATATGCCATTTAAAGAGCTATAGGCTAAAGATTCTGCCTCAACTCTTAGATACCATTTTCATCCTGAAGCTTGGCTACTATGATCTGAGAGGTAGATTAAAGGGGTGCTTCTGAAGAAAGTATATGGGGAGCTTTTGTCATGCTGTAAATAACTCTTGATTAGTTTCTAGAATCAGGTCAGTTTTCCTAAGCCCTGAAAGAGATGAGCTCTGAACTAATAATGAGAGAACCTGGAGTGTAGATTGGATAATGATCTTTAATCAGGGGACTGAATGTCATTTATAGGTTGTGTAGGTGAAAGTACTCTGTAATTATGATCTTTAGGACTAGAATTTGATGTCTTAGTCATGTTTTCCTATTATTTTGCTCTGCCACACAAGACTCGCACTGGTGTTTGCTTTCCCTTTCTTGCCTTTTAATTCTCATTACTGGATTTAAATGACACTCAACAGGTGGAAGAGAGAGAAGAGTACTCCTTTTCTTAAAGTGTAGCTTCAGTAGAAGTGAGCTTTAGTTAAAAGCAAGTCAATAGTGTATTCAAGGGAGTGTACCCATAGGTAACAGTAAGGAAAGCCAAATTCATGAAGGAGGAAAACAGAACGCATCCTGAGGTCAAACTCAATTTAATTTTCTTCAGTCTAACACATTTACCAAGTCTACTCTGTGCCAAGCACTGTCCAAATTATCGTGTAGCAAATTATCATAACAAATTAACACAGATTGAGTTGTTTAAAAGCATAGAAATGTATTCTCTCACTGGTCTAGAGGCCAGAAATATTAAATCAAGGTGTTTTCAGAGACATACTCCCTCTAAAGTTTCCAGAAGAGAATCCTTCCTGGTCTCTTCCAGCATCTGGTGGCTCCACATATTCCTTGGCTTGTGGCTGCATAACGCTAATTTCTGTTTGTCTTTACATGGCCTTCTCCCTTCTGTTTCTACGTTTGTCTTCTCTTCTTCTGTCTCTCATAAGAACATATATCATTGGACTCAGGGTCCAGCCTACTCCAGGATGATCTCATCTCAAGATCCTAAAGTTAATTATATTTGCAAAGATTCATTTTATAAGTAACATCTCATTCACAAGTTCAAGTAGATATATCTTTTGAGGGGGTCACCATTTAACCTACTACAGGTCATTACCAGTGTCATGCACTCTGCTGAGAGCTTTACTTGCACAATCTTATTTAATACCTACAATTGTTGTTTTCGGGGGTTCAATTCTTGCCTTCCAAGTAGTATAGTATCTGTGTGTATGTTTGTTGGAAGAAGACTTCATACTGTACTTAAAAATGTGTTTGTTTGACTCAGTGCTCTATTATATGTTTGTATGTAACAGACACAATGAGAATGCAGAGGAGAAAAAGACTACTTGCATGAGGCAGTCTTAACTGAAGAGCTGAGCTGGTGACAAGCTGAGTCCTGATAAATAAGTAGAAGCACCTTAGGTGGATAACTGGGCAAAGAACACAAATAGTGTTATAAAAACATGAAGGAATAGCCAAAATTATTGGTTGACAGTTACAGAAATCCAACCAAACCTAACACACCAGAATTGGCTTAGGTAAAATGGAAATGTATTTCAAAAGGAAGAGTATGGCTGAACCTCAAGGGCATGTGTTCAGTAACAGCTCCTCTCGTGAATACCACAGACCTGCTTCTTTCACAAAGGGGATGTGGTCATCTACAGTGTATTAAATCTTCATTGCTAGAGCAGAACTGAGAAGCATTCTCTCTCTGACCTCAAATTAGAAAATAATCACAAGGAAGGGTTTTGATTGCCCTACCTAGAATCTGACACCCACTTCTAGACCAATCACTGTGGCCAAGGAGGGAGGATTTATATGAAAAGGGCAGCTGCCATACAACCTACATAGTTAAAGCACATGTTGTTTTTGTAGTGGGGAGAGGGATGTCAGGGAGGGTTAGTAGAAAGGGGTAGAGACAATAGTAAGGGGAGGGTCTTATTCTGAGCACTTGTGTCTAATATAGAAAATTAAGTGTCTAATATAGATGCCAAATCTCTAATTTAGGATGAAAGAGAAGGGGTAGGGCAGAACAGAGAGATTCTGGAGGTAGAATCTAATAGGGATTTTTAACCTTGGCATTATTGACTTGTAGTGTCAGATAGTTCTTTGTTATGGGGCAGGTACTATTCTGTGCATTGTGGGATGTTTAACAGCATTCCTGACCTCTACCCATTAGAAGCCAGTAGCAACCCCACCCCCCAGTTGTAACAACCAAAAATGTCTCCAGACATTGTAAAATGTTCCCTGGAGAGCAAAATCCCTCCCCTATCCTTCATTGAGAACCACTAATCTACAGGATTAATTAAGTGAATTAATTGCTTTCTTAGGACTGAGGCTTTATCTGGTCAAATGGAAAAAGAATTAAGACAGAGTATTCATTTTATCTCTGTAATTAGCTTGTGGATTATTTTAGTATTCCACTGAAATTCTGAATTTCTGCATAAGCATGCAATAAATTCAAGATTTTTTGACTCTCCTCAATTATTGGGTTCAGTTACTTTTTCAGCTGTTTTTTTTTTGTTGTTGTTTGTTTGTTTTGTGATTTATCATCTATGTTATTTGTGTTTTCTTTATTTCATGTTTTTTAATTGTCAGTTTCTCTGAAGACCCTAGTATCTGGTAGTTAAGTACATTTAGGTTATAGTGAAATGATGTAAGGGCTTCTCAAAGGGATCCCAAAAGCTTCTGGTGAAAAGTGATTTTTGAAAAATGATTTTAAATATTTTAATTAGAGTTAATAATTAAGGAGTTAAAAAAACATTAAACTAAAAAGAAATGTGGTAAAGTTTTAACTCTAAGTTTTGTGTTTTTAGATAAAGGATAATGATCTTTATCTGAGGTTAAAGATAAGAAAGCTCTGAGTAGATTCTGTTGGGTAAGAATAAGACAACTGAACTAGGAGTCAAAAAGAGAACCTCAGTGCTGGAAGAGACCTTGGAGTCTAATTTCCCATCTGATGCAAAAAATTATTTTGCAAAATTCTGGACAAATAACTACCCAGCTCTTGCTTCAATGCTATCAGTGACAGTGGTCCAACTTCTGATTGAGCCAAAATATGCATCACTGTCATTTCCACTCATTTTAACCTCTGAAGTTGTACTCAAAAGTTTAATTCTTTTTCCAGTTCCCAAGTAGGAGTTCTTCAAATACTAGAAAAAAAGCTACCCTACCCCCAACCAATGACCAACTCCACTTACCACTTTCCATTCTCAAATGTCTTCTTTTGTTGAGCTAAAAGTAACTTGTTTCTTAAGATATTTCTTATATCAAAAGGATCCCAGTACCTTCATAGTTCTGATCATCCTCTTCTGACCCTGCTTCAGTTTGTAAAGATCTTCCTTAAAATATAGTGTCCATTTTCATACATCAGTGGACATTAATTGGTATATTCTTGTTGTGAAAGACTTTGGCAAGACATATTAGGTACCTGGAAAATGCTTATACCCTTTAACCCAGTAATTATGCATCCAAGGATCTTGTTTGGTGAATAAGCAGAGACTTAAACATGAAGATATTCATTGCCACATTATTTTAAATAACAAAACCAAAAATTATTATAACATGAATATCTAACAATAAAAGAATGGTTAAATAATAAAATAACTAATATTATACTGCAATTAAAATTATGTTTATGAAGAGTTTTTAATAATATGAAAATATGCTAATGATATAATATAAATAGTATAAATATAATTTATCCTGTAAATTGTATTTATACTATAAGTACAGTTATGTGACAATGTTTACATACATAGAGAAAAGACTGTAAATAAATATGTTTCATTGTTCCTAGTTGCTATTTCTGGGTTACAGGTCATTATTATTATTTTTTCTTTATTTTCTTCAACATTTTTGAAAAATGTTCACAATTGGTTAGTATTATTTTTAAGTTCACCAAAGGAAGATTTAATAATTCAGATTTGTTTGGAAACCACTAGCTGAGAGTAAGCATTCAGTCTGTGCTGTTTGCAGCTGGATCTCTAGTGCCCAACACAAAGTAGACAATATTAAATATTGAATGTTTGATTGAATTAAAGTACAGGCTAAAAATGAACTTCACATAAGCCACTAAGTTCCTTAAAGTCTCTTTCATATGTCCTTACCTGAGGCAAAAAGAGCCATCCACAGTGACACAATGTCAGTAAATATCAGAGGCCCTGATGAGTAGATGTGGAACCTGGGAGTGTAACAGCTCTATTTCCCTCACAAATCTTAAACAGAAGGCCCAATGAAGCTTAGCATAGGATTTTTGGCTCTAAACATCTCCAATAGAAAAGATCTAAACCTTGATATTCAATCTAATAATAAGCAATGAGTTGGACAAGATATCCCCTATAAACGTCATCTATAAAACAAGAGTAATAATAATAATATCTACCTCATAGTGTTGTTGTGAGGATTAAATGAGCTAATACTGTACCTGGCACATAGTAAGTGTTGTGTAAGTGTTTAGTACTATAATTATTATTTGTTGAGTATCTACTCTGAGCCCAGAATTGTGCTAATTTCTCAGAAGAAAACAAAGGTTAACTAGCACAAACTCAGTCCAGAAGCTTGGGCCAGTTTGGGTAGGACAGGTCACTCCACTCTTGTGGCTTCAAAGCAGATGGCTTGTGTATGATACTGAGAACTGGTGATAACTTTACATTTATGTCTTCCTATGTCCTCCTTTCCTTGTCCCACAGTTACACTCTGCCACATTCACTTATGCAAGCCAAGACTGGGATCCCCGGAAAGGCTTCACTGTGATCCAACCTTCATACCATTTCTATAGCAGCATGCTCCAGTGCATTGCCGAAGTTAATGGGAAGATACACAGGTCATTCTATCTCCCACAGCGTTTGGGTATGTGACCTTGTGATTTTTGGTTAGGAAATGGGATCCAGCTGTTTCTGAGAATTACTTCTTATTTGTATAAACCTTACTCCAGCTATAATCTCTTACATGTCATTTAATAACCAGGAATTCTAAGTTTTTATTTTAAGAACTTTTTTATGTCAGTAGATAATGCCCAGTTTTGGACTGTTCCCAGTTGCCTGATCAGTTGTCCCATAAAATCAATAGTTTGGCAGTGTCTAGCAATAAATACTCAGCTATTATAAGGTTGTCCTTGTAAAGCTATGAAGCAATATCATATATTGTGGCTAAAGAATAGACATCTTGGAGCTCTATGTTACTGCTGCCTTTGTATAGAAGTGAAGCTGGGCTTCTAACTCAGGGAAGACTCTTTGCTCAGAGAATTTAGAAATGTGGTAAAATTAACCACAGAAGGGCTTGATTGTCTTAGATAAGTAGGAGGAAAAACTTCCTGATGGAGAGGTTATTAAACTGATTATAAGATTTCCTAACCAGTATTGTAGAATCTTTTTCACTGAAAAGCCTCAAGAACTAAAAAGATAATCCCTGCCACTAACATCAAGCCTTTTGCTATATAGTTTATATAAAATATTATCTAGTGTTTTCTGAAAAATGGAACCTTCTGGTTTGGTTTTGAGTCTATATTTTCCATCTAAGAAAGGGAATAAGGAATTGAGAATTCTAAGAATTACTCCATAATCAAGATTTTCGTATCTTGCCTTCTTTGTCAATATCATTATGCCATCTAATCTATTTTCCAGAAACCAAGAGAGAAAATATCTCCATCAGATACATTTTTCTTTCTCTGCACTGTGTTGCAGAGACCACATTCAATGGACGAATAAAACTGAACTGGGTGTTCAATCGGCAAGATGTAAGGACAATGCCCCTGCTCCAAATCTTTACAAATCTGCCCATATCCTTTCTCCCTGCCATTCCAACTCAGTTCCTACTCTGGGTCAAGAACCAGGCAACATGCGAATCAGATCAACAAAGTTGACTAATAAGCAGCTTCTGCATTTATGGAAGCCAATCTCGTAGGGAACTGGCATTTCACTCTGTACCATATCATGGTTCATTAGTTACATATGTGATTTAATAGAAGTGAAGAAAAGTGTCAGCTCTTCAAAGGGATTTTCTTTGGCTTCTCAACAAGTTAGGTACCTAGAAGTGCTCAATAATCACAATTGAAATTATGTTCTTTTTTCTTTCCTATCTCACAGTCCAAGACAATACCCAGGTGTTGCGAAGTTAAAAGGAACTTGTACCAAGGCTCCCCTGTGTACAAAAGCTATAGTAACTTGACAATCTGGAATGTAACTATGGAAGACAAGGGTTTGTACATTTGCAGGGAAGACAACAACACTGCCTTGCAAGCCAACATCACCATCGTAGTGTACAGTATGTAAAACTTTTATTCTTGACTCTTCCCTAAGGATTAGCCTGCCTACTCTCTTCCCCCTATATGAAAGAAATCACTCAGACATATCTTCATTTTCTCTCGCAGTGTTATGGTCTCCAAGGCTTACACTCCCAATGCTTTGGTACTTAAATAAGAAAAGGTAGCAAATGTCAGTCAGCCCCTTTCCTGTTCTTTCACTCTGGCATAGAAATTGCATGCTGGGAAGCACTGTGATCTAACTTACACACTTTTACATCTTGTTGGCTAGTTATAGTTGTATATTTTAAGGATATAGGGTAAAGTAACTCATCAGTATTTTGGACCGTGTAAAGACCAGATTCTTGAATCTTTTATCTTCTTTGCCAATTTGTGGTGCGATCTTGTACAACTTGCTGCACCTCCCAGACCTTCATTTTTCTCACTTATCATCATAATCACCATCATCATCATCATCATCATCATCATTTACTCATAATCATAATATAAAGTTTAAGGGTGCTTCTAGCTTGTTTTTTTTTTTCTGATATGAATGTGAACATAAATTGCTTAGTGGAAATAATTAAGTGAACTTCAATTTAACCCAATTACCTTGAGTTCATAGAGTTCTTTTCTTACAAAGAGACATATATATACATACACATATGCACACATACACATATTACTCACACATGCTCACATACACATCCTAGCATAGTTATATAGACATACTTAATTTTTGCATGTATCTATGAAAATCTAAGCCACAAATACTAGTATCTATCCACACATAAATACTTAAAAATATAAACACACTCTAGGTTTATTCTGCAGTAAGAAATTTAATTATTTAAGCTCAATTCAATCCTCTGCAGCCTGGTTTATAAGGTAACCTACTTTAGTTCTCTCAGCCTCTGGATTCTATATAGCCACTTCTATCAGCTGGATTGCCTTCCGTTTTAGGCAAAAGAAAACCTGACTAAAAATAGCTTAAACAATAATGACAATTATCTCGTGTAATAAGGAGTCTTAAGGTGTATGGTTCCAGTGCTGATTGACTTAGTGGGTCATCAATGTATTCTAGAAACCAGGTTCCTTCCCCTGTTCTATTCTATTATTCTCATTATCTTCAAAGTGCCCCTCATGCTGCCACAGTCCCAGATCTCATATGCTAATGATAGTGTCTTAGAGACAGGAATAAGTGAAAATCCCATGATTTGTGTTTCTTTTTAAGAGTTTCGAAGATCTTTCCCAGAAGTCCCCTAGCTAATTTCCCCTTTTGTTTCACTCTTCAGAAATACATTATCTGCCCATGCCTAAATAATCACCTGACAAAGAATAAGACCAACATGATTGGCTTAATTAGGTGGTTCTCATCTCATGAGCAGTACTATCTCTTAGGGGTATTGGAAATGCATGAGGGCATTTTTGTTTTTTGTCAAAATGACTGGAGGTTATTACTGGCATTGATTGGACAAAGTTTATTATAATAAGCTCTATTGCTTATTAAAGGATTATAAATATCTTTCAAAGTTCAGGACAGTATTGCAAAACAAAGAATTAACCCTTTGAAAATGCTAACAGCACATCCCTCCAATCCACATTGAGAAACACCAGCTTATGACAATCAAGATTGGCCCTGCCAGGCAGGGGAAGATGTGACCGCTAACAGGAAGGGTGAGCAAAATTGGGATTCAGTTATACCTTCTTCCTCGAACTTCAACCCTGTTCTACTTCCAGAAAAATCATTCCTCAATGTGAGCTACAAGAGAAGACACACTTATGAGGTGACAGCAGGGCAAAGTATTCTCAAAATGGGAATAAGAGTGGATGCTTTCCCTCGCCCCAATGTGACCTGGTAAGTAGAGTTTTCTTTCCTGAGTGTTTCTGTTCTCTAGAGTCTCTTAACCCCTTCCTTAAGACCTGCTCTTTTGTCATATAGCAGACCCTGGACTAGGTACTGCGGAGTCAGAAATATACTCTAACCTTAATCCTACTTTCAGGGAACTCACAGCTTCAGAAATGAATGCTTCATCTTCTTCTCCACAGGTTTCTTGGCTTGTTTCCTCTTTCCTTTCTCAATCTCTCATGTATTTGAGAGGAAAAAAAGAGAGTTTTTTACTCTGAAAAGAGAGGAGGAGATAAAGCTGGGAAAGTAGCCAAAGCCATTGTAGAATTCCACAAACAGATTTGGAAGGAGTCTTGAAGGTGATCTTACCCAGTATAATAGAGATCCTTGAATGTCAGGGTAAGAAGTGATAAGGTAGAAAAAATATGGGCTTTTGAGCCAGACAATCTTGTGTCCCAATTCCAGTTCATCAAATTACCAAGCAAGTTACTTGAACTCTCTAAGCTTCAATTTCTTCATCTGTAAAATCTGGGTGATAATATACTGTGTTATAGAATTGTTTTTTTTTAAATCTCTATTGCCTATTAAAGGCAGTTAGAGAGCAATCAAAGACTCTGGAGTCAGGAGTGATAAATTTGAAGCTAAGCTTTAGTAAGATCAATGTGGCCTTATGTGGTTTGGAATGGAAAAAGATTGGAGAAATAGCTACTGGTTTAGGGCATTATAACAATAGTTCATGTGAGATATAATATGGGCCTATATAATCAGAATATAAAGAGAATATAAGGAGGAATAGATTTGGGAAACAGTTCAGAAGTAGAATCTTCAAGATTCAGTATCCAATTAGATGTATGAATCAATGCCCAAGGATCTGAAGTACTTCACAGTTTTCAAGTTTGGTGGAATGTGAGATTTGTGTTGTTATAGACAGTCTGGGCTTCATCAGGATGAAAAAGTAGTGTAAAGGTAACAGGAAAGGAACACCATGATGAGATCATTTAGAGATAGTCAATGAACATTTAGAAGTATGATTCTAAAGCTAGATTTTGAAGCTAGAGACTGAGGAGCCATCAACTAGGAGTGGATAAATGCACCCAGGCTATGCACAGAGAGAAAAGAGGCCAAAGGCAGGATCCTGAGGCAGATTTATATTAGGGAAATTTATAAGCATTTATTATGCTACTACTGTGAATTACTGATATTTACACAACACCCTCAATGTATTTGGCTCATTAGCAACTCCTAAAATTTCTTAGCCAAAGCCTCCTCTCTCTCATTTTGTCTGCTGAAGTATTTTAAGTGCTTGCTCTGTAGGAAGTACTTATTGAAGGGGTAAAAAATGGAAGAAGAGTCAGTGAAGAAGAGAGAGAAACAATGATTAGAATAGTGTCCCAGAAGCTAAGAGAGGAAGACTTGGTCCCTAAAATCAAACACTGTAGAATATCTGGGGGTTATGAATGCTGAGAGAAGGCCACTGGCTGTGATAATTAGGGCATTGCTGGTGAACTTGGAAAATATGATCTTGAAAGAGTTTCAGGGATCAAAATCTGAGTTTAAAGTGCTAATGAATGGATGGAAAGTGAAGAAGTGGTAGCATGAGTAAGGGCACTTTCCAAAAGTTTTGACTATTAAAGCAAAAGGAAGGGACAAATTTAATCTTTTACTATCACTATAGCTGTACTAAGGTGCTTCAGCCTGGGAATTTTATGGAAAAGATTCCATTGTTTTGTCTCCTTGCTGATCATGATGAAGCATAATCAAAATGCCCCTCGGGTAGAAAGCTGGATGACCTAGAGGACTGCATTGTACTAACCATACCTTCTCCATGACTCGCAGGTTCAAAGATGGAAAGCTACTCCCAATAAACCATACCTTTCGGCCTGACCCTCTTAAATACAAACTCACAATCCTGGAAGTGAATGTAAAGCATGCTGGGAATTACACTTTTGCTCTGAGCAACACCAAGCATGGCCTCTACAAAAACCTCACCATACAACTGATTGTCAATGGTGAGTTGTTGGGATTCATGCAACAGTTTCAGGTTCCTGTCTCTATTTTGTTAGAATAAAATTCAAAGCGGAGATATGATAGGAACTACCTCAGCTATGCAGAGGCAGGGCTTTTGGAGGTGCTTTTTGGTCACCAGAAGTTTGCTGATTAGATTTCTATGCTGAAAGAATTTTCAGAGCTGTGATGAAATTCATCTCCTGTAATTTTTTCTGATACCAGAGATACTTAAAAATTGGTCTCTTCTTATTTAGAAAGTGTAATTTGAAGTGGGGAGGGCCAAAACTCCATCTCGGTAACTGTTTCTGTACATTAAAGGGACTGGAAGGAGAGGATTACATTGTCTTCCATGGCTTATCCTGGATAAATAACAGGTGATTTCTCTTAGAAGTAGAAGAAAATGATATCACACATTCTGAGCACAGCCAGCACTGTCTGCCTTATACGGTCCTGACCCCAGTTTTATCTAGTGCCTTGACAGCCAATGTGACTTAGATTGTCTCTTCCCCAAACCAATGTTCTATTTTAGTTTCTATACCTCTGCATTGTCTTCCATCATAAAAGCTTCCAGCTAATATGAGAAGCCTAGTTTACGTTTCGCCTAGATGTTGGGCTTCTGATAAGGAGGTGGGAAGTGTTGGAGCCCATGAAAAATAAGAGCCATTCTTGGATGGAACAGTCCTTTTATTTTAGTCTTATTTCATCAGAAAGCAGAATAAGGAGAAGCCAGCTGGGTCCTTATTTAGCTCTATGACAATGCCTCTGCATCCTTTCTTTCTCAACATCAATGCTTTGGAAAGGAACAGAGGTTGAGGGTGGGAGGGAAGCTTCCTAGATTCTTATCTAGCATCTTTTTGTTGTGTAACTCATAAGATTTTCTATGTTATTGATTCATCCTTTGGTTACCTATGAATGTTTCCTAGATTTCTTGGGGCCTTCCAATATCAAAAAGAGTAGGCTAATTTGAAAAATTAAAAATAGCTAACATCACTATCCCCATCACTACCATAATTGACATGGTTAGGTAATTTCCAGTCTGGACACTGGAGTAAGCCCTTGGTGGTTTTATGCCATCTCTGCTAGTCTATCAATTAAGGCTTATCACTTGTCACCCTGGCAGTTAGGTGGGCATATAATGAAGAAACAGGTAGGCTTAGAATCTATTACCAAACTTAGATTCTCTGACTCAAGCCCTTACTGACCATGTAACTTTAGGCAATTTACTTTGCCTTTATGGTCCTCTGTTTTATCATCTTTAAAATAAGCATCATACTTGCCTTACAGGGCTATCATTAAAATGACATGAGGTGAAGAAATTACCATCCTTTGCTGTCATTTTATCTTATCTTTTATCAGAACCTTCTGCCCAAACTGTTGACCATTACTACTTAAAGAGAATATCTTAGGCACCCTAGTTCCCAAGAAATAGTTTCTAATCAAGTCAAGTGTCTAAATGCAGACTATAGTCTACTCCAAATAGTCAAATAAAGGGCAACGCCAAACATAGAGCAAAATTCCTCATCCCTACCCACCACTATCACTTTCTCTATGTTCCCTCTGTGGTAAAACTACTCTTTGACTTGGGATTTCACCAGTAGACTATGTGAAAAGGAAGGAAAGAGGATAACAAAAACCTGGTAATATTTTCCATCCATCCTAGGGATTCTCTGATCAAGAGCCACATAATTTATGCTTTCTCAAGATCATGTTGCCTGTTTTTTTTTTCTCTTATACTTTCAACTGAT